TTTATTTATTTATTTATTTATTGTGTTTCGAATGAAACGGCTCTCCACACAACATACATTTGGCTTTATAAACCAAATAGAAACAAAAACATTTTGTCTTTGTGCACAAAATTTTATGYATCATAGCCTTTCAATCAGATTGTTCTTCTTTCTGTTTGCTCTCAGTAAATTCTACATTTTTAACACTGTAAAGAAGGTTACTTCATTCCTGTACCTGACTCTACTGAAGTCTTTTTTTCATTTTGTTTGCCCACCTGACTCACAGCACAAACGAGCCGAGGCAAGTCTCAGWGACAACAATGGTGCAATTTTTTCCCCTCAGCTATCTGGTGTAGTTGAACAAAGCCTGACGTGMACAAACATATGGTTTGCAAAGTCTCTCTTTACACTTGCACACATTCATTTCCATGCAAACACAGAGCCAAGAGCTGCTACCTGTTGTGGTGCAGCAGGGTTTCAGTGAAGAGCTGCTCAGTCGGTAGGAGGTTTCCACATCGGGTACTTGAAGGCAGCTGAACGGAGGTGATGCTAACAACCGCCTCCCAGTCTTCTGTGGACTGCATGAAAACACGTCTGCAGTGACACAACTAAACACGTAGGATTTTCTCTTTTATTTATGTGATTTTTACCTCAGGTTCATAGCGGATCATGATGTCGTACTCCATGGCGTAGGGGATGTTGTCGATAGTAAACACCAAGCCGGCGCTGTCTTTGACCCGAGCAAACCCGGGTCCAGTCCACGTCACGATGTGGCCGGGAGTGTGCTCCCTATTTACAGTCGTCACATCCGGCTGAGAAACAGCACCAACAACAACATTTCTTAAGTTTGACATAAAGTATCTTTTGTAAAAAAAAAAGATTTGATCTCACAGTATTATCACACGTATATACAGAATAATTATGTTATAAACTCGARCTTATTATGAAAGTAGCTTTACTTTAAGGAAAGCAGTTACACCCGCTGCCTAAAGAGTTTTAAAATGAACAGCTTGTGTGATCTGTCAGAACAACTGTCAGCTACTACCACATCAAATCTGAGCTCATAAAAATGACACATTTATAAGCATTTTTAGGTTTCCTATCATTGGTTCAGCTGAGATCAATTTCAAAAGTTAATCAGTTGTAGATATRCATCCAATCAGTGGTGGGCAAAGTTCCCTAAAGCACTAACGCACTAAAGCACCAATGCACTAAAGCACTAATGCACTAATATGGTAACTAATTTCCTGTTAGAACTTTAGGGTTTATGCTCATTTTTTCATCCATTAGTGGATTAGCACTTGCCAAATTTATGTGCTAAATTTAGAAGCACTAACTGAGGTCTTTAAATGTCAACAGACGTGTTTCCATCCAATTTTAATTTGAATTTTGAATGAATTATTAAAAGTTCACCAAACGGAAAAAAAAAAAGAAGAAATGCGACTCAGAGGTGTTTCCATCAACTGGCTTGAAGCGAATCAACTAGGCATTACGTCAGACTCATGGCTGTAGTAAACAGGAAGTAGAAGTTGAAAACTCACAGGGATCTCAGGACAATGGAGAGAAGTTATCAGAAATACGTTGGTACTATCAGGAAAGTTGTAATTATTGTCATATCAACTAGTTTTGGTGATGTTCCATGCTGTCTGGAGACGTAGAGAAAGAAATGCAATTTTTTCACGTTACTGGAATATCTGAGAAAACGCCGACAGCGGGAGGAGGGTCCTCCAGCTGCAGTCACGGCTGTCGTCGCTCTGGTACTGGTCTGGAACCAGACAGACAGCAGGAACAGCTGAACAACATGTGAGGTAAATGTTTGCTTCATCATAACTTATTCGGCAAATGTGTTTCCATCTCTCCTTTTGTGCATGAACTCTTTGTCGAAAAACTCTAAAACTACGTCAATCGAGCGTATCAACTTTTTTTGCGAATTAGAGGAAGTTTTTTCGAATCATGCCGTTTCCTTCCACCTTTTCTAATGCGATACTTCAAAATGCACATTAAAAAAACTTTGATGGAAACGTGGCTATTGACTCAGAATTTCTGAGATTATTTTAAGAAACTTTAAAGAAAAAATAGGATTCTCTTATGGAAAAATGTCTGCATAAATTTGCGAGAACAAAATCTGAGATTTCCACGATTAAAGGCAAAAATGTTCAATATTTTAACTACATGTAAATATTTTCTGACATTATAAAGTCAGACATTTACAAGAAAAATTACTCGAATTTATCAGAAAAAAACTGAAGTTTTCAATGTCTCAAGGGCGATTCCACCTTTATTTTCAGTGAGCCTCTTTACATAGTTTTTATACTTTAGTTTAAAAACTAAAACATCTAGACACTTCAAACCTGGACCAGATTATTCTACACTGACTGTTTAAATCAAGTGTGTGATTTGTGAAACACATATTTGATTTGAGAAACTTCAGTATAGGGCGATTTCAGCACTTTTTATGCATGTTATGAACAAATGGGTTGACTGGGTTGATTTAGTGCTTTAGAATTGGCTTCTGCTGAATTTATTCAGTGTGTTAGTGTTTTACAATTAGAGGATCTAAATATCTGGATTAGGACTTTAGGGCTAGTGCAACYAACATTTAGATTAGTGCAACCACTGCATCCAATAATTAGCTTTGTGAAAGTCTTGTTAAAATCGGTCTGGTAGCTCACAAGATACTTTGAGAACAGATAGACAAACACACACACATACATGTTATCCCACCTTTCATGGACACAGGCAATAATAACAGCCGGTTCGGATGTTATCAGTCCATTAAATGGACRTTATTAGTGGTTATCAGTCCCATAGAATGGCTTCAGGCTGTCCCGACAGTGTCCCCYAATGGGTTACCAGTGCCATATACGTTGGAATGCAACAATCTGCTACCACCGGAGTCCGGTCTACTTTATCGTAGGCCATGTCATTTTCTCTAAAACTAACCTTAGTGACTTTTTGCCTCATACTAACCAGCTGACAGTCTGAAGCCATTCTATGGGACTGATAACGGCTAATAATGTCCATTTAATGGATGATAACATCCGAAGTGGGTGATAATAAAGTAGAAACGTCATTGTTTGCAATCCCCTGACTTTTTAGCTAAAGTTTGTATTTTAACTGAAAAATAATCTATATAGTTTAGCATTTTATCTAGATGTAATTTAAACACATGAAATAAATTCTTAATAAATACAGTAATTAGTTTTTTCGCGACTACCTGAAGCAGTTAGGAGCTAAAAATAAACAATAGTAAAAATTCCCTCAACGTTGTTTTTGTTCTCCTGGAATCTCAAGACATAATTGTTCTGACTCACTGTTTAAATTCTCCGTGCTTTGGCACTCCTGAAATAAGAATCAGTGTTTCATCGGTATCGTACCGTTTGCTGGAGCTGACGGATGCGTCTCAGGGCTGACTGATACTGCTGCGAGCTTGAAATGCGCCGGTGTCTCCGGTGCCTCCTCGCCTGGTTATTGAGATGCTGAATGCAGTCGTCTGCTGCCTGAGGACGAACTTTACCCTGAGGAGGACAAATAAAAACACATTTATTGGCTGCATATCATAAATAAATACTCTACTTCTCCTAAAACAAGACTTGTAATCTTGTTGAGAACTTCTAAACCTTTAAAAGAGAACAGAATCTAGATCAGGGGTGCCCAAACATTTTCTCTGAAAGGGCCAAAATCAAAATCAATCTGAGGGGGGTGGGCCAAATGCAGTAATATAATACACGAAATGCAAATATTTCAAGGAAAGTTGTATTTTTATGATTAAGCCGCAGCCAGTGCWGTTGCCCACATTTTTTTTCTAGCCCATGGACATGGAGAAAATTCAACGTTTGCTCAGGCAGCAAAGGTTCATGGGACTTTYCATAATTTAAAATTTGAGTATATGGGGTCTTTTAAGGTGTGCAAATCTAGAAATGAACTTAAATCTAATATAAAGGTCTCTTGAAGTTACTTGTATTTTAAGTTTAATCTTAATATAGTTCAAAGAAAAAGTGAGCACCATGAGTTAAGTTTATCTGACTAGAGCTCCTTGTACCTATAGTTGGACCAATGTTTGAAAAGACTAAGTGCAAATAGTATTTCTACATAAAACAGGAGATTACAATCTAGTAACCAGGATAACTGCTAGTGGGCCAAATCAGATGGCTTGGCGGGCCAAATTTGGCCCACGGGCCCCACTTTGGGCACCTCTGATCTAGATTATTGCCAGAATAAAGGAGTTCACAGGCTCTTTGAAGCCATCAAAAAGGCATACTTGAGGATATGTAAAAAAAAAGTTTCCAGGAGCAGTTCAACAGGACATGTCACGACGTTAAAACGTCACGCGTCAAAAACATTTCATCGCACTATGTGCACCGCTGCCGCCGTTTCTCAAAACATTCCAAAGTCACTGAAGTCAAGTTTCCCTCACATTCCTGCAGGGATGTTAGTGTGGGCTGTCGGAGCTTGCCTCAAGGCCTACACGAAGGATACAAACGCTGGAGTGTAAAGAAGAAAGATGAATGAAGAAGAAAGGTTGAAAAGAATGTAAAACAGACGATAGAAAAAAAGAGTAATCCGTCACAGTGACTACCTCTTTTTAGCATCGGCTTTTTTCATGACGTTTACTTTGAGTAGCTTTACAAATACAATAAAGGTCTTTAAGGGTCAAAAACAACAAGAGATCTTTAATAAATGTCCAAAAAGGGCTGACCTCAATGGGACCTGCCTGGTTAAATAACAGGAAATAAYAGTAAATTAACAGTAAATTAAAAAAATTAATGTTTCTGAGCCCCGCTAATAAACACTAACTGAGCTCTATGTGGTATTTCCTGCATAGTTGCAGTTTTGATTTACGACTTGTAAGYGGGAATTTTCCACTTCCCAGTACATCTGGGCTGCAGAAAAGGTAGCCAGCAAAAATGTAGCAAAGTGTAGATTTTACTCAGTGAATTTTGCAGACTTTAGGATACTTTAGAATCAAGGAGGTTCTATAGAAGAACTGATTTAAAATTGTAATCTTAATTACATTAAGAAAAAATGATCTTATTCATATTTTTGGTGGGAGTACTGCCTCATTGGTGGGCCCCGGATGGCCTTGAGTTTGATACATGTTACTGATAGTTGAGGCTCTCTGCAGCAAGGTTGAAATAGAAAAATATTTCTTACAAATACTTGGTGAAAATGACTGGATCAACAGAAAAGAGAACTTTTGAGTGTGTTTCTGCTGAAACCACCTGTGGGGTTTGTCTTACGTCTAAATCCATATAACTGGATCAAACCTGCAATCAGCCTGAAGTTCAAGTTGTTTCTAAAAATGAGCTTTGATTAGGTATAAATGTCAGAGCAATTAATTTGAAAGAGAGGATAATAACAGTGGTGCATTCCATGACCTCAGGAGGTCAAAACAGCTTTTATCCAATAAGAAACTCATTTAGTATAAAAGGATCTTAAAGTGGCTGAAAATGTTTGTTTCCTGTAACATTATGATGAGCTGAAGTATAAATCATGCTGCTGAGCTCACCGGCAGGGAGGGGTCACTGGGGGGGAGTCCTGTGGCATCTTCAGCCTCGTACCTGTAGAAGTCCAGAGGAGCGCAGAAATACCCAGGCTGCACCTCTGAGCACTGTCGACCAATTAAATGYCTCCTGCAGTCACACTGCCCACTATCCATCATGCACCTGGTGTATCGGAGGGAAAAAAAACATTTTAAAGACCTTAGAGGTTTAACTATAACTATTAGCGTCAATGTTGCCTGTCTGTTAGCAAAATATCTCATGAATCAATAGACAGTTTGAAATGAAACTCTCTCAAAAATAATGTGCATCAACTCAGTGCAAGATGGCCACCAAATGGTAAAACTGGTGATAACTCAGTYGATTTTACAGTTATAGAGCTATGATAAATTTCACAACACAGACTCTGAGTGTTAATACATTTAGTACAAAATGGATTGTGCAAAACATCACATGCTTGTTTTGTCCAAAACTGTCTCTTCTTAGCAGAAAATGAGCTTAATTTAAAGCTCTGAGTAAGAGGAGTGGAGGAAAATAGGCTTTCCTTCCTGGAGTGTTTGCGCCACCCATCCCCGAGACTCTCCATCCATCTATCCRTCCATTACAATTTCAGAAAGCTGTAACTTGCACATTAAAAGACTAAAATACACCAAACTTGAGACGAGTCATCCAAGTTGCATGCCTGACCATACCATGTGCTCATATCATCATCAAAGCACCGCACCCTGACAACAGGAAGTGACTTTTTTTGTTTGGAAAACTCCATCTTCAACCCTCTTGAACTAATCAGCAACAAASTGTGTCAGAGCACAGATAAGAACTTGATCTCACCTGCTTTCAAACACAAAGACATTTGGATGAAAGGCGTGGTCATGGCAGTGTGGCGAAATCAGACATCACGCCGTTGACATACGTTTGGCTTTAAGTTCCACATATATGACCCATCACATCGAAACAAGGATTAAGTCCAAAACTGGTATATGGAGAAATAGTCAAATATAGTGTTTTGACTAAAATGTTAACAAAAATTGCATTTTGTCAAAATATAATGAATAAACGCCTTATCAATGTATCATTTGAATGAACTGTCTGAAATATAATCATAAAACAAAATTTTGAAGCACTGTTTTGAGCAGTAGCAACAAAAAACCTGATTTTGAGGAAAAATGCCTTAAAATTTTGAGATTTTCTCTGTGATTTAGCAAAGTTTTATTTCTTCTTAGCTGGGAAATCTCAACCTTCAAATTTAATTTGAGGTTTCCTCTTTATAAGGACATCAAAAATTCTAGAATTCAGACCAAATATTTATGTATTATTGNGTGGTATAAGGAGAAATAGGCAGATATAGTATTTTGACTAAAATGTTAACAAAAATTGCATTTTGTCAAAATATAATGAATAAAAGCCTTATCAATGTATCATTTGAATGAACTGCCTGAAATATAATCATAAAACAAAATTTTGAAGCACTTTTTTGAGCAGTTACAACAAAAACAAAATGATTTTGAGGAAAAACGCCCTAAAATTTTGAGATTTTCCCTGCGAGCTAGCAAAGTTTTGTTTATTTTCAGCTGGAAAATCTCAATATTCAAATATTTTGAGGTTTCCTCTTTATAAGGACATAAAAATTCCTCATTAAAATGACATAAATTAGGATTCAGACCAAATATTTATGTATTATTGTAACCAACAAGACAAATTAAGTCATATATATGGATCTAATTATGATATCAGAATAATCCAGGTATCAAAATGTAGCTTTTAAAGCCAAGAATCTGAAAATGTAACTAGGTCATTTTGACCAAATTTGACTGTATTATTGTAACCAATAAGACAAATTAAGTCATATATATGGATCTAATTATGATATCAGAATGATCCAGGTATCAAAATGTAGCTTTTAAAGCCAAGAATCTGAAAATGTAACTAGGTCATTTTGACCAAATTTGACTTAATTCTCATTTCGATATGATGGGTCACATATTTCAGCCAATCAGCAAGCAATTTGCTATGGTTGATCCTAATCCATCCAATTAAGGGAATGAAGTCCAATTTTGGGGGGCGTGGCCTAATTAGACATCACAACGTTGACATACAGTTGGCTCTAAGGGTGTATTCAGACCAGGAAAGTCCTTTGGTACAATTGTTTGGTCCGGACCAAAAATGGACTTTATTTTATTTTTCGTTTGGTGCGGTTTGCATTCACATTGTGCTTTTTTGCAAATGAACTATAAACTTGTAAACAAAGCCACGGGTGTGACGATCATTGCTCCCATTGGATAAAAAAGGATGGGGGCGGGACTGAGCCACAGATCCAGAAGAAAACAAGGAAGTCCTGCATGCTGCGGTTCTGATGCGCACATTTTTGCTGATAGTACAACTGCAATAGCATTTAAAATGACAGAAGCAGCTAATTTAATGGTGGTTCTGTGATGACATTCTAATTTTGGAGCGGCATCAGTAAATGTGTCTCATAACCCAAAGGAGAAGAGGTGCTCTGCGTGTTCTGACCCACAACATGCCGGCAGCAGAGCTGCTAACAGGAGACGACGAAACAGGTATGATTTCAGTTTATTTAGCTCAACAACGGTGGCCTGTGAAGTCCAAAAAGGTGCATGTTTAATGCAGTTGGTTCGGTTAGAGTCCGGTCTGTATTCACACCAGAAGAGAACTGAAGTGAACCGCACCAGAGTTTGGAAGCGGACCGAGACCACCTCAAAAAGCAGGTCTCGGTCCGGTTGTTTGACCCGCACCAGAGTTCRCATGAGTGTATTCACACCTGCAAAAAAGGTCCGGACCAACGCTGGAAACGAACTCTGGTTCGTTTAAAGCGGAGCAAATTATCAGGTCTGAATACAACCTAAGACACACATACATGATCCGATCTGAACCAATTTTGTGTGCATCATAAGGGACACCGGCTCAGTGTGTAGTAGTTTGACATGATCCCTTGTCTGTTCACCGTATGTGATGATTTAAATAATGAGGGCCTGTGATGATTCCAACAAAACTGCTAACAGTTGATCACTACTGAATGGTGACGATTGGCATCGACTTCTGACTTGTTTATTTTTAAAACTCACTGGGTCTTTACCTGTTGTTGTAGGCTCCACCAAAGTCACAGTCACATGGTCTGCAGCCCCCCAGGTCATTACTGAGCCCCCAGTATTCAGGCTACAGGGAAGGAAAGCAGTTTTTAAAGCCAGGATGAACAATGACACATTTAAGGTATTTATCCTTGAATAAAAAATAAATAAAAGAACCCTCAGTCGAGAGGGTAAAACACAAGTTAAAGCAGATCTGGAAGTTCAGCTGCAGCAGCTTTGGTACAAAAACGAGGCTAAAAGTTGTTTCTAACCAGACACTGGTTGCAGTGGCGACCCGTCACATATCGTTTACAGGAGCAGTCTCCGCTGATCTGATCACACGGAGCGTCCATCATGATGATTCCACGGGGATCACAGTTGCAAGCTGATGCAGAAAGACGCAGAAGTAAACTGACGGAGAAGAGAGAAATACAGTTTTCATCCCAGATAAAAAGACAAACAGGCACAGATACGTACGCTGGCAGCCGAGTGGATCGATCTGGCTGAGTCCGTAATAACCCGTCTTGCAGCTGTCGCAGCGCACGCCTTTTACATTTACTTTGCAGCGACACTGACCGCTGATCATCCCCATGTCTGGGTCAGTGTGGCTGTCACAGACACCACCCTCCAGTGAGCCCACTGGGTCACAATCACAGGCTGCACACACACATAAACCCAGAGTTAGTTATTTTTGTGTGGAACAGAGTCACGCTTCYAAAAGATATTCAGCTGCAGATCTGATGATTGCTTTTGTCCACAACAAAGAGCGCTGCAGGAATCAAGACAAACATTGTTTCGTTTTTTTTAAGTGTAAAGTTACACGAGCAAAAATGAGACAAATAACTGGTCCTAAATTATAACAATCAGGTTTTCTGCCTTGGGCCGAGAAAAACCAAGAAGTGAAGAGATGAAGAACATAAACGAAAAGGAGAAAAAAATCTGAAAGAATAAGATACCCGATGCCTGTGGCCGTGAACGGACTCACCAACACAAACATGCGGGTCCTTTACGTCCCTGTTGGGGTCTTGGTAGTAGAACGGTCGGCACATCTCACAGTTGCGTCCTATCGTGTTGTGCTGACAGCTGTCGCAAACTCCTCCGCTGGCGTTGCCCGTTGCCAAATACACCGCCATGTCAAAGTGACACTGGTTGGAGTGCTCGTTGCAGTTACACTCTGGACAAAGACGGACAGTAACGGGCAGAAAAGTGAAAACAAAATCATACACTGCCTGGCCAAAAAAATAAAAGTTGTCACCTGGATTTAATTAAACAAATAGATACAGGCTTCCTATTAGATAATTACTGCAGAGGCGATTATCTTTCAGCTGGCAACAAGTTATTTAACCCCAACTGGTGCAATGAGGTGCTTCTCATTTCTTAAGCAACCACGTGGAAAGACRCATCCTGTGTGTCGTTGAGGAGATGTCTGTTTGAGAAGAGCTAAGTCACTGGCTAACTGGAAAGAAAACTTCAATTTGCTWGCGAGCATAAAKTTTGGACTCTGGAGCCATGAAACAAAGTCATGTGGTCTCAGTCCAGATTTACCCTGTTCTAGCGCATCAGGGTAAGAAGAGAGGCAGGTGAAGTGACGCCTACTGTACAAGCCTGTGGGGTGCAGTGCTATGATGTGGGGTGGCTGCAGTTGGTCAGGTCTAGGTTCAGCAACAGTTTGTGCTCAAAGAAAGAGGTCAGCTGACCTGAATATACTGAATGACTGGGTTAGTCCATCAATGGATTGTTTCTTCCCTGWTGGTWAGGGCATATTCCAAGATGACAATGCCAGGATTCATGGGGCTCTTATTGTGAAAGAGTGGTTCAGGGAGCATGAGACATCATTTTCACACATGGATTGGCTCCACTGAGAATCTTTGGGATGTGCTGGAGAAGGTCAGACTCTACCATCATCAATGCAAGATCTTGGTGAAACATTAATGCAACACTGGATGGAAATAAAACTTGTGATATTGCAGAAGCTTATCGAAACAAGACCACAGTGAATGTGCACCATAATCAAAGGTAATCCAATGAAATGTTAGTGTGTGTGACCTTTTCTTTTTTTGGTGGTGTTTTGGTCAGGTAGTGCATTTTAAAAACRTCTCCAGAAGCAAATTTAAAACAATGACTCAAAGACATTTTGTGCACGTGTAAGAGTGCACGTGAAGTGCACCTCTGCAGGTGTGAGGATCCTCCGCCTCCGCCGGCCTCCAGGGAGAGTCTCTGAAGAAATCTTTGCAGCGCTCGCAGTTCAGGCCTTCGGTGTTGTGTTTGCAGACGCAGCGACCGTGGATCTGACCAAACAGAACACAGCTGGGTCGTAAGGAAAAAAAAGTTTACTAATCTACTTGTTTGTCTCTAAAAAAATAAAATAAATTAGTTTTCATAGAAAAGTTTTGTAAGAATAACAGACTGCAGGTTTAGGTCTTTGCTTTGAAGGTTCCCAACGGAGGCAAACAAGATGGAAATAATAAAGTGGCTACCATGTTAAGAGCTGTTCAAATGATCTAAAATGCTGATGAAAGGAGCTTCAAGTGCCGCCATTTATGAAAGAAAACATATTTATTTAAAGGGGCAATATCATGTAAAATCAACTTTTTTGAGTTTTATATCATGTTATAATGTTACACTCTCATAAAAACATGCCCAAAGCCTTGCTTTGATTCATTCATGCATGTTTGAAAAATCCTGCAGTGTTTTTAGGAAGCCATGCTGAGGAGCAAAACGACAGGTGGGGACCAGAAACGCCCCTGGGACGTGTCTTTAAGCTGAACTTCCTCATGGCCGAGCGCACCCCCTCCTCACACACCCTGCACATGACTCCTGCAGGCTCTCTGGTGAAAGTGAAAGTGAAACTTAAACTGTCTGCTGAGCTCCACTACTTCTCACTCAATGAAGCTCTTTTCAGATTCAAAATACCATTGAGGAAATGTATTTTCAGATGCCAAGTAAACTGCATCATGGCCCCCCCCCCCCCCCCCCCCCC